TAATAGGACAATCCATTGCTTCTTGGGTATAGTGAAAACGAATACTCCTACTTTACCCCATTTATGCTGAAGCATTTGAAAGTAAATTATAGACAAAACAACAGTGTTGGTAAGTTATTTTTCCTCTCAGAACTTGAGACCCTGAGATGGGTATCGTATTTTCTTTTTTTTTTTTTTAATTAATTAATTTATTTAGGTTGCACTGGGTCTTATTTGCAGCACATGGGATCTTCCTTGTGGCATGTTTAGTTGCGGCATACGGGATATTTAGTTGCGGCATGAGGGCTTCTTAGTTGCGGCACGAGGGCTTCTTAGTTGCAGCATGCATGTGGGATCTAGTTCCCCAACCAGGCATCGAACCTGGGCCTCCTGCATTAGGAACGCAGAGTCTTACCCACTGGACCAGCAGGGAAGTTCCTTGTATTTTCTTTCTCATCACTTCTACCATCCCAAATATCTGATGAGCTCTGATAGTTTGCACGGCCCTGGATAGGTGCTACACATGATATTAAGATTAGGAATAGAGGAACTTGGACTTTTGTAACCTCTTGGCCAGGGTAATGTCCTCATTTTACACTGTGCTGTGTAACGCTGTGTTGAGAGTGTTCCAGTCTCTGCCCCACCACACCTAATTTTGACAGGAAGAGCAGTATAGATACATGAATCATAATACTAAAGTATAATTTTCAAAAGGTTAAGAGACATGGATTTTATGCAAATGTAAAATAAATATGTCAGAGGTTTTATTCAACTCATTCATTAACGGGAGAACAAGTAAGATGTTGTAACCAGTTTAAAGGGAATTTGAAGAACCGACATGCATAGGTAATGAGGAATGCTGAAATGAATTTACTACTGGATCCAAATCTGGCTAATATCCTATAGGCCAATAAAATGAAATATTTGGGGGTCATCCTTTTTATAGGATGGAAATCAATTTTATCTCTATTGGCAAAATTCATTTGCATTGCTGCAGACAAGAACGTATGCCTCATTACATCTTAACTTTTACTTCTACAGAGTTGAAAGAAAGCCTAGTCAATAGATAGACACCCATATAGAATCAATAATAGGGGAGGCTCTATACAGGGTTTAAAAATATGCCCACAGATTCTTTGATACTCTATGCTTCAAGAGGTGGAGCTTAATTCCTCTCCGTTGAGTGTGGGCTGGATTTGATGACTCACTTCTAACCAACAAGATGGTAGAAATGAGAGCGTGTGATTTCTGAAATCAGGACATAAATACATTGTAGCTTCCTTCTTCCTCTTTTTTTTTTTTTTTCCAGTACGCGGGCCTCTCACTGTTGTGGTCCCTCCCGTTGTGGAGCACAGGCTCCGGACGCGCAGGCTCAGCGGCCATGGCTCACGGGCCCAGCCGCTCCGCGGCATGTGGGATCTTCCCGGATCGGGGCACGAACCCGTGTCCCCTGCATCGGCAGGTGGACTCTCAACCACTGCACCACCAGGGAAGCCTCCTCTTCTTCTCCTTTTCCCCTCTCTCCTCTTCCTTTTCTTGTCCCCTCCTCTTCTTCACAGCATTATTTAGATATAATTCACACATTATACAATTAATCTACTTAAAATATCCAGTTCAGTGGTTTTTAGCATATTCAGAGTTGTGCAGTCATTACCACAATCAATTTTATTTTATGTTTTTTTTTTAATTTTAAAAAATTTATTTTTGGTTGCATTGGGTCTTTGCTGCTGCGTGCGCTGGCTTTCTCTAGTTGCGGCGAGCAGGGGCTACTCTTCGTTGTGGTGCGTGGGCTCATTATGATGGCTTCTCTTTGGTGCAGAGCACGGGCTCTAGGCGTGCAGGCTTCAGTAGTTGTGGTGCACGGGCTCAGTAGTTGTGGCTCACAGGCTCTAGAGTTCAGACTCAGTAGTTGTGGCACACGGGCTTAGTTGCTCCGCAGCATGTGGGATCTTCCTGGTGATCCAGGAAGACGGATCCAGGTGACGGGCCTTAAAATAGGGGAAATTACCCTGGATTGACCCCATGGGTCTAATTTAGTCACAGAAGCCCATAAAAGCAGAGGACCTTCTCTGGCTAGAGGCAGAAGAGATACAGCAGAACAAGGAGTCAGAGCGACACCAAGCCTGGGAAGGATTTCTGCACCACTGCTGACCCTGAGAGGCAGGGGCCACATGACCCTGTGCAAGAACTGGAGAGAGGCTCTGGGAGGTTGAAAGGTGATGCTGGCTGACAGCTAGTAAGGAAACGGGGATCTGAATAAGCCCAGAAGTGGATTTTCCCCCAGAGCTTGCAGGTGAGAGCTCAGGCTGGTTGACAACTTGATTTTGGCCTTGTGAGACCCAGAGAAGGGAACCTGCTGAGCCCGCCGGACTCCTGACTTACAGAACTGTGAGGGAATAAATGTGTGTTACTTGAGCAGTGGGCTTCTTTGTGTTAAGCCACTGGAATTTTGGGACTACTTGTAACTGCCTCCCAGCTTATCCTAACTAATGTACGAGTTCTGTAAATGTAAATATTTACCAATTGGGAGAAAATAGTTTAAGCCCCCAAATGCCATCTACTTTTTTCTC